AGAATGTTCACCATTTATTTTTAAGATTTTGAAGACATTCTTAAATTAATCACAAAAATTAAACAACACTAATGAATGATATCATACTGAATACAATTCTACTGGTCTCTCCTCAAGATTCGAGATTCCAATCTGATCTGGTCCGGCCATTGTAATTAGAAATCCGTGCATTTGCAATCCGCATTTGCCGGGAAGCCCGGGCCCTGATTTATGGGCTGATGTGCCAGGACGAGGAACGCGTGCCTAATATCCCGTCATTTGATTACTCAATACGAGGCGGAGTCGGGGAAGTAGCAGTCAAGTGGGGCGTACGGCTCACCACTTCCGGCTGTCTTGTTAGGCCGCCCCGCATCGCTTCGCATCCCGCCTACTAATTGAGTAATTTATGCGTGTTTGTCGTTACGCATCCGCCACCGTAGCCAAGTGGGGACCCTTTGCAGATCCGTCTTGGAGCCGTGGAGCCCCGAAGTCACCGAGCCCCTGCGAAAGCCATTTAAGCCCGCCGGCGCGTTATCTATGCCGAATGCCGACGACATTTTCACCATTCAGCTGGATATTGTGTACACACAGCAAAAACATCACCGAAATCCCTTATAACGCCTAAAAATGTATACATTTCAATGGTATAAGCAAAACAAGATGAGTTCTTGAGCCTTAAAAATATATCCCCAAAGCTATGATATTGATTTCATATACCTAACTTTTTAACAGTCAATAAGATATAATAGGTACAAGTATTATATAAACATAAATATATAAAATTAATATAAATCTAAAAGCTTACAGTTTTAAAAACCTTGTAGTTGCTTGTTTTCTTGTATTAATTACATAGTATACATATCAGCAAAAATATAATCTTTATCGTTTGACATTAGAATGAATTAATATTATTTTTTTTGAAGGGGTTTTCTTTTTTCTATGTGTAGGAGGCCTGTTTGCTCGGTCTCAGCCACTTTCTCTGAGGATGGCACGGCAGCAAATTCATAAAACGTGACAAGAAATGCAAAATGATTCCACAGCGTCTACCTTGATTGAAAAAGGCGAAGGCAACGGTCTCGAGTGCCGGAGCCAAAGTTAGAGGCCTGCTAAATTAATTTGACATTTCTTGCGGCGGGTATCCGATGACGGTAGGATAGGAATCCCCTCCGGCGGAGATTCCCGGCCGTGATTTATGCGAAAAGAGTTCAGACCGAACAGGTCAGGATGACTCGCAGCCACGGCTTTTTCACACTCTGCCAGCTGATTAGCCCGAGGACTTTAAGCCAGTGGGGGACTTCCTGATTTGTCGTTCACCTGAAATTTTAAAGTAAATTTAAAGAAAAAATGCCGCGGGCTGATAATTTTGTTCACATTGCAAATATAGTTATTAAAAAACTCTCTGACATAATTATTATTTACTGTTTTCATTTGGCACTCACAGTTTAACGCACATTAATAACTACCCACTTAATTGCCTGACCATTAAATTAATTAAATGTAGCCCTTTTTTGTAGATATGTTTTATCTTTTCCTAGAACTTTTTTCAGAGGCTTTCATTAATTTATTGCATTTGTTTTGAGTGAGATATTTATATTAATTTTTCAACCAGTTTGAGTGGTCAGTTGACAACAAAAACTGTGTTTTTTACAGCTTAAACATTAATTTTAAATTACGAAACCGAATAACAACATTTATTGTTTGCATATCTATAACCTTTTAAGTAACGTTTTTTTATAAACACTGATACGAAAGTCATGTTGTGCAAATTGTTCAAAGAATTTCAAGTGTTTTTCATTACCATCAGGTCCTATATCATTTTTTTGTAGGTACTTCAAAGCAACAGCTAGTAGAGCTTGAGAAATGTTCGCTGCGGTCAAGTATCTTAAAATGTATCTGACTTATATAAATGACAAAACGAGGAGGTGGATCAAAATGCTGTTGTTTTTGCCTGCTGGTCCTTGGGAATAAGAGCTAAGTAGCCGGGACTGAGTCATTGAGTTGTTTTTAAAAGCAAATTCCATTGTTCAATTGCTGTCTTTTTGTTGTTGTACTTTTTCTGGTCCCCAATGCGATGGCCATTAAACTCAAATCTATGCTTTAAGTGGGGAGAAAAAACGTCTTCCTTTCAATAAATTTGCCATGGGTTTGTGATGTTCTATGCAAAACTTTCAGCATCCTGTCGGTAATGTCCTGTCCAGCATTTGGGTTATTATTCTGCTGCATCAGCTTTTTGTTTTTTACCCTTTGTATTGGTTTGTTTGGGTCTTCTTTTTGCTTCACTATTTTGCTTCCCTCTCGTAAAATGTTTTATTAGATTTTTTATTGCGTTTTTAACTGCACAAGTAAAAGATGTCTACAGTAAAGAAAAAAATTTGTATGGCTATATATTTATTTTATTTTTGCTTAAGTAATTAAAACTACTGTATTAGTCACTTCTTCATGCTTCGTTATTTTCCTAACTTGGTTTTCTGTTTTCATTTTCGCTGGACAAACGCTTCATGTCATGCTAATGACACTTTGTTTTTTTGGGTTTTTTATTGGCAGCCAAGGACGCAATTTATTTTATGCGACTTTTTTACAAATGGCCGTGGCAACTTCGAAATTTAAGCATTTTTAAGTCGAGGCATTTGTGAGGCAACAAGGCTGTTGGTCAAAAAAGGATTTTTGGGCTCGGAAAAAGCAGTTAACATAAAAGGGTAGGGATAAAAAGGGTTATATTTCCCTAATATTATTCTTCACTCCTTTGTTGTTGTGCTATTCATCAGGAAGTATTTCCCTTATTTTCGTGGGTATCTCGCTGACAAATTGCTTTAGTCAGGTGATGTCTTCATCTTTTTTCGCCTTTTGGTGGAATTTGTTACTTTTGTTAATGAGTTCGTCCTGTGTGAAATCTGTTTTTGAAATTAGGTGACAGTATGGGTGGGCTAATGGCCTGTATTTATTATTGGATGTTATTTTACCGGTGTGAAACTTGATGGTAGAGATTCGTGTTCCATCCAAGGTTGTCAAAATTTTTGTACCCATTTGGGCATTTCATTACTACCATTTCACACATAAATGTTTACTGTCGCAAAATGGAAAATAAACCTCAATCAGAAACAGCCAAACATATTGTTAAATACTTATCCCTTTGAAAGCCTATTCCGTGCACCGGCTTTTGATTTTGAAAATTGTTTGAATAGGGATTGGATTGCCGCCATGTTTCGCTCCGCAATTCTCCCTTTTCCACGGCTGAAAAGCAATTTCCAGTATCTAGAATCAAATTGCAATCAATCATTTGAAATGCAAAGCACACACACACACTCAGGTGCTTAATCAACACACAGTGTTGGTGTGTAGAGGGGAAAAATTATTCGGTCATTTCCTCGTGAGCGGAGCTGGGAAAATGTGTTTTTGCTCTGAATGTCCGACAGGTGGAGGCTTCGATGATGGCTGTATGATGAACAAACGAACTTTCCCATCAAAATCGATATACAACATGGCGTAATGGGCAAGGGAATCGTTTTTGTAATCTTACTTATCGATTTGGTTTGACAGTTAATAAATAAAAATGTACAAAATGATTAAAAATTACATTAATGTATGTTCAAAAATTATAATACTCTTTCTACATATATAGAATGTACTTAGTTCTTTACAAACTGAAGCCTGTCAATTTATGGTTTCCTGTTAAAATACCCATGTGGCACACTTTCCCCTCCCCTTTTCCTTGCTAAGGACATTGAAAATCTTTACTCAGTTCCATAAATAATTGGAAACACCTTGGCAGGACGGAAATGAAATACGATTTGTTGTCGATATTTCAGTTTTTCTGAGGTGGGCACTCGGGACCCTGAAACTTTGTGCGCGTTTTGAACAACGATGTTTTCAATTTAAGTTCTTTTGGCTGGCAAATATTTCATTTCGCACTTGCAAAACATTTTGAGCTTGTTAAAATGTTATCAGCGTTTTGACGGCCAAGCAAAAGCCACTCCCCCTGGCCAAAAGCAGCACTTAGACGGCAAATATTTGTTTGCAATTTAAATATGCCCTAAGCGACTTGTCAGGACCCGGTCCAGGGTCCTAAGCTCATTTGCATAGCTTACAAAACTGGTGGGCACATGCCCCATTTCAACGTTAAGCCATAAATCCACAACACATGTCAGGAACTGAAAATCGAAAACTGAAGAGCCAGGCAGCTTAGGCTGGCAAGATATAAATAAGAAACACCAAAGTTACTTATTTAAGTAGGAGATATAAAAAGACAAGACTGTGGAAAATCGTAATGATTCTTTAAAACTCTTTGTGTTCAATAGATGGCTTTTTTAAGCGGTAATCTTAGCTTGACATATCTCATCCCTAAGATCATTCTCAGGTCTGGCCACTCCTTTTCCAATCTATTCCATGATTCAGAAGCAACTGGTTGTGCCTTGCAGCCACCTGACGTGCCTCGGGGCAATCAAATTGAAATTTATCGTTTGACCTTATTTGGCTTCTTATTTATGCCGCAGGACAAAGGACAAAAGGACAGGACGTGTGTTAGCGCCAGGATACGAGTATTTAATGCTGGCTGACTGCTTTACACGACTCCAATGGGCCAGGGCCACGAAGTAGACATTTATAACCGGCACAGGGACAAAGACAAAGCCAAAGGCATTGGCCACTTGGTCGATGGCACATCCCGGACCACCGCTCCCCAGCAATTTTTTCAATCTCCACTAATTTATGTCAATTTGGATATTTATGTGCCGCACTGCGGTCGCCGGCGCAACTCCATTAGCCCCAGACTCCACGGATTCGGGTCGAGACTGGGTAGGGCAGTGTTTTTCGCGCTGCGCCACATGCTGGGTAATTACAATTTGTTATCGCTTTAATTTAATATTGACGCATGTCGCATGCGATAAAGCCAACCAGGCAGCTATATGGGTGTATGTATAAAGGATCTGTATCCCAGGTTCCTTGGGGAAATGTGGGTATCCGAAAACAATAAGACACGCAATTTAGAACATCAAATAAAGTTAACAACGTTTATTAAGTGCACTTCTCTGCTTTCCAATCGTGTGGTCTTATCAGCATTTTGCAAGCCTTCAGCGAGTATCCCTTGCCATTGTACCAGTTACCCCAGAAAATACCCAAATTCTCATTAGTTGGTGTTTTCGTCTTATGATATGGTCCATTCAAATTGCTAAAAATATAAATATAAAATAAGTGAGGGTGATAGGTACATAATATTTTTAAATTTTAATAAATGTGAAATTCAAAAGTGAAATTAAAGTTGCAGCTTACCACATATAACCATCACTACTCCATCATTCGAATACCTTGAGATCACCATCCTTAATTACATCTATGGACACATACTTGTGATTCAAATGGCTGTGCAAAGCATCGCCAGCATTTCCCGTGTAGGCGCCCAAGGATTTCAATCGGAAGTGCTCATTCTCACTTCCCACCTCAAAGTGATCGTATTTGGCAAATGCCCTTACATCATGAAAGTCATCGAGTTCAATGTACAGTTCGTGCCTGCAACGACTAGTCGCGCTATGTAGAATCTTCAAGCCCAGAAAGAACTCTCCATTTAGGTCTCCGAAAGGATTTCTATGATCCTGCTGTGCGCCAAAATCTTCACTTCCATCTAACCGACGATGAACTACCATCCAGTTAGGACCTTCGGTGGAAATATCCTCGAAAATAGCCGCAAAGGGTCTGTCGCCAATCGTAGAGACGTATCGAAGGCCGGGGATCTTCGAGTGGTTTAGGAATACAAGAGGACCCTTATGGGGACCAGATGGACCTAGTTCGGTATGGACTTTAAGGGCGCTCTTAAGATCAAAAACCTCTCGTTCCTTCTCTACTAGTTTAGCCTTTAGATCTTCCAATTTGCTGTTCAATACATCAATCTCATTTTCTTCATCTTCTTGTTCATCTAGGTCGTCCTCATAGTATACATCACCGCGATAGGACATTTTATTTTGGTTAGATCTGTATTGATAGATTCAATTTTGGATTTGAATCGTACTTCGATTTCTTGAGATTTCGGTCTTATTAACCCTCACCAAATAACTGTCGAAAGGCGACTGTCTCCCTATTTGTTATGAAAAACGAAGTGTTGAGCCACAAACGCAAAGGTACCTTTATACGTTTTTTAAACATTTCCACGTTAACAAAAAAATTATAGAAAAATAAATATAACATTTTTTTAAAAAAACATTTTTTAGTGTTATTTTAATTAAAAATAAAGAATATTCAAAAGTGAAGAAAAACTTTCTTAAATTATACATTTTGATTTTACTGTGTTTTTCCCCTTATAGGTTACGTATTACTTTAGTTGATACTTAGCAACTCATTGTATACAGTTAAGTTCCCCGAAGATTCCATCTGGTTTTCAGATAAATACTTGGGTTCCTTCATTTAAAAGTTATCGATAAGAAGCGATCAATAAAGGTAATTTCAAATGTCTTGTTATTGGCTGTGGAATATTCTAACTTTAGATGGCTTCTGACTGCATTAAGACTTATGCACTTTGAATTTGCATATTTAGTACTTCTGATGGATTAGACGCCAATTAAGAGGCATGTGTGCCGAGTTCCAAGTGCAACGTCGTGTCTTACTAATTGGGAGACGAAAATTTTCCTATAAAGTACGCTCCAATGTAATATGCATTGGCTTAATAACATTTCGATGTCTACGGCGATATTGAAATGCGTTGCTCTTGTTCGCCTGGCAATTAAGTGCAAGCTGCCATCCGGCCAAGGCCCCTTGACATTTGCAGGCAGCCAAAACCATCCAAACAGCCAAGAGCAGCCCCCCTTTCGCCCATATTGAATGTTAAGCCACAGCCAACGGCTCGGCAATATTAGCGGTATATGACAAACAGCCAGGACTGAGCCAACAAAGTCCCACGTCCATGTGGTGTTGGCACAGCAGCAATGGCAGTTGGAGAGAGTCGAGTATGCACTGTGAAAAAAACCATTAACCATTATATAACCACATATGTAACACCCCTGCATAAGGTCAAGTCATTTTGAACCTAAGGCCTTAACTAATTATTATTTAGTTCTAAGGTTTTGAGTTTTTGCCTTATAATACATGGTTTTAAATCTTTATCAAATTTAAAAAATAAAAAAAATACAAATATCGTAGTTATTGTCAATCTGTTGAACCTTTTCTATTTGTATGTGCTTTGCGGTGGATACCATTCCGGAAAAATCGGGTTGTTCGAAATCATAAAATGAATAGTAGTAGTATACGATCGAATTGGAAATGGCGGCGGCTTCTTTTAGCATCTTAATATTCCCATCTTAAAAAAGATGCAATAAAAATGATATATCTTCGATTTTCACAGTACGATTGATATAATATTTTGTGTTATTATTAATAAAATTATTATTTAATTATTAAAAAAGTATAAATTAATACATTTTACCATGGTTGAAAGTGACTTGAGCTTTACGAAAAACACACAAATAAAACTTATTGTTTGCTTATCAAAAACGGTGTGTTTTAAACCCCTTAAACAGGTGTTTATTTATTTAGTTACATAATTTATACATATATTTTTCTGTCCGTGTAATTATCTTTTCGCAGAAGCATTATGTGCTTTTGCTGGCATTTCATTTTAATTACTTTACGTGTATTGCGTGTGCGAAGACAAGGCAAGTGTTAGACGCAGCGGGAATGCTTTTGAAGGTGAAGCAATTGAGATCTCGATTCGGTTTTGCGGTTGCGACAGCAAGCGATTATGATTGTACAAACGTAGCCAGGCTTTCCAAGTCATTCGGAGGGAAAATTAGGGGCTTACAAAGGCAGCGGATGAGCAGGCGAAATCCTTTGACTTGAAATAGACTGGGGAAGGTGTAGAATTTCCTTTGGGGTATTAGAAAACCACTTACATTAATCTGAAAACTGTTTGATAGAAATTAAAGTTAAATTAAACTAAATATAAACTCTGTTATTTCTGTGCAAAAATTATCAACAGAAAGTGTATCTAAAATGGTGGATATAAACATTCATGTCACATAATTAAAATTGTCATCTTCGCATAAAAATAAACAATATTTTTAATATGCTTTAATTGAAGCTGGGGACAAGGCGAAAATTGCCATTGCGGATTGTGCACTTCAGACGGGCCACTGACTCCCTCCTCGGAGACTGCGAATTCCCCATTGAAGTTACCAGGATAAAATGCATTTATGACATTTTTCTTAGCGTCGTGGCATTGATTGCACTTATGCAATTAATGTCACCGCTCGTCGCAGAATGTGGATGTCGCCCAGGAAATCCATTTAGATATATAGTCATGTCTTTCATTTAGGATTCCGTCCCCAGACCGGCAAAGCAGCACTTAAGGCTGCTGGCGTTGCTGATGCTGTTTTTATGGCCAAATCGAGGAAGAGGAAGCTGCAAATGCTGCTGGTGTGTACGTGTTTGTTGGCGGGCGACGAAGCTTTGCGCCAAAATGGCGTCGGGCTTCAGCTTTCGGCTTCCGTTTCCGGTTGCTAGGCAATCGCAATGCAGGCCATTAATGGCCAGGTACATATCCCATTGCACTTCGCTGTCACTTTTATCATCGTGCGGGCACATAAATATCGCCAACTTCTTTTGCGTTTATTTGTGCATTTTGCGTTGGAAAGAAAAAATGAATATTACGTATACGCTTTCACAGTAAAATAGTTACTCAACTGTCACACTTCCATGTTGAAAACCTAGTTAATGAGTGACGGCAAATGTGGCAGGGCTATTTCGAGCAGAGTGCCAGCAGGCATTCTAACAAATCATATTTCTGATAAAGTATCAAAAAAACTATACTCTTTTTAATGAGCTCTGCATTTTAAAAAATGAGAGGAGCCTGAAAGATTTACTGTCCAGTTTTCACATTTGGATAGCTACAGAAATTCAGATTTTCTAAATTTCGAAGGGTCAAAAACATAATTAACTAAAATATATTAAATACAATATTAAAAAGAAAGAACTGAATATAAGTTAAAAGTGTACAAAATGTAATGTTAAGTCATTTTTAAAAGTGTGCTAATTTGATTTTCCCTTTTTAAGTTTTTTATTTGTCAGGCTGAACATCTTTTTAAGAGGTGGTTCGATATCAGTTCCCCATGGTGACTGTTTTTTTCGCGCTTTTGCCAACATTCAGTTTGTCTTGATGAATTGCGGTTGTCTCTGTCAACTGTCGCCAACAAAACTATTAAACATTTTTAATTAAAAATTGTGTCAAAAGTTTTTAATGAAACTCTTCTGCTTTATTTCTCTGTTTTTAGCCCTTTTATGGCTGCTTCCCCCCCTGTCTGCTTCAATTGCTTAACTTTGGCTTTAACCTTGATGTGATGTTTTCCGTTTTAATTACGGGTTTCGTTTTCCATTTAGTCTTTTCCTTTCTGCTCTCCGCTGTACAAGGATGTTAATAAAATTGTTCGAGTAATTAATAAGCCAGGCCCCGTTTTCGCCCTTGATCTAGTGTTAAATGGTAATCGCTTTGATTTACTTTTCCATTTGGCCAACTGCCCCAACTGAGCGTAACAAACGCAGTGGCGAACTTCAAATGAAACCAAACCGGAAGCTGCGTAAAGTATTGAACCATGTCGGACCCAAAAGTTTGGCAAACTTTTCCATTTTGAAAGTCCTTGAGTGGGGACTTTAATGAAAATGCCTTCTTTTTTCGGGCTGAGAAGATGTATATTTAAAAATATCGAGACTCATTTTATTAAATTGTTGCAGCTTTAAGCTAAATAGATATCTGAGTTAAGCAATACAATTTATGATCTTTTAATTTAATCAATATTGTTATCTTCATTGTCCGGTATTCTTCAGTCGAGTTTTGAAATATACTTTGTTTTGTACTCACTTCGCCCCATTAAGTAAATTTGGCCTGACTTTCCTTTCCCTTTTCCCTTAATTAGCACAAAAGGGCTGCCAACTGTCAAACAGCTTTGGCAAAAAGGGAAAAATTCCAACAAATTGGTTTTAAATTTCAGTAAAGTTCAACGAATCTCTGGAAGGAAAAAAAGAGACTGGCCAACATCCCTGAAGTAATTATGCGCAGGAAAGTAGGCAACGCTTTTATTTTTCACTTTCTTTAAGGCATTTTCATCCTTGTTGACTTCGGTATTCGTGCATTGAAAAGTCAATTTTGAAAATTGAAATATAAATTATTGAAGCGTGAAACGAAGTGGTGGGGATGGTGGGGTCAGAGGTGACAGGCAGGGCGGTAGAGTGGGCCAATAGCCGATGTCCAGCGCAGACAGGTTGAGTTCGTTCGAATAATATTTATACAAAACGAAAATTGTAAATGGCAAATGCATTTACTGTTGATGGTTCGTCGCCAGTATTGAATAACTTTGGTCTCGGCTTAGCGGTTAAAGTTCAAAGCAAGTGAAAATTACAGAAAGTGTCAGATTTATTTTGCTCATGAAATGTAAAACCCTAGTTGATCTGGACTTGTGGTATTGCTTAAAGCCAGGACATTACTCAAACAGCGCCCTTTCATCGCATGAGGGAATTTGAAATTAATATTATCAGAAATTTAATCGAGTTCCGGTTTGTGCAATCAGGTGTTAATTTCATTTCGACAGGCAATCAGTTTCCCAACCTCATTCGCAACCAAATGATATGTATGTACTCATTTTCACATTGTTCTCCGCTGTATCTTGAGTTTAATTAGTTTGCCGCAGTCCGTTTTAATCTCAATTAAATTTCAACTATTTAAGCAGCTCAATCCAGCCGTTCGCAGTTCCCAGTGCCATTTTTTTATGGCTGCTCCAGCAGGGGAAAATGTTTTTAAAATGCGGTCATCGTCTTTTGCGAAATTGAATTTGTAATTTATGCATTTTATGACACAATATTTTTCTGACGGTAGTGAAGGGTTTGTGCGGGTATATGAGAACCTCTGGGACCATTAATCTATAAACTTTTTTTAAAAAATTTACTCATTGGATCTTTTTATGTTATATTTAATTAATTTATAATATAATTTAAAAAGAAAGACTTATAAAAAAAGGGAGAGATTAGCATGTTTGCAATGTGTTTAAAATGAAACACATTTTTTTCTTAAACAATATGAATATAGGAAAAA